ACTATAGTCTAATATATTCTCAAAAGTTTGGTAAGCTTTGAATGGTTCCTTCTTAACTACTTTCCACACCTTTATTTGGAAGTCTGCCAGTAAATTTTGTCTTATTTTGTACTTGGCTGAAGTGAGGTCCATCTCTACTAAGAAGATAAAGTTTATGACTTTATGTACTTAGGCTACAACAGACAAGGACAAGTCCTTATTTATATTATTAAACTCTTTGCAGCCAAAAGTCCAGATCTCTGAATTTCTTTGAATTGGATTTCACCAAATGTGAGTGTCAAGTGAAGTCCACAGGTGAGGGGCCCTGAGAAACAACTTCTGTGTGAAGATCATATAAGTGACTGTGTGATCATCAAGGTCTCCCTGACTCTCTTTGGTAAAACTGAAAAGAAAACCTAGTATTTAACCCAGAGGTCCATGTAACAAATCATTTTCTCTTGTATCTCCTTAACATTTAATATGATGGTTCTCAACCAGGGGGTATTTGTCCCCACAGGGGACATTTCACAATGTTTGAAGTAATTTTTGATTATTTTGACCTGTTTGCTCCTCAAATTCTAAGGCACCTTACTTCTATACTTAATGTGCCATATTTTGTGGGCTATACATTCTCCCAACATTGCAAGGCTATTCTTACTGTTTCTGAAAGATGCTCTATTGCACACAACAACATCTTTCCTTTGTCTTTTTAGCCACTCAGGGGTTCAGCTATGGATTTCCCATGGGTTCTTAACTTGTTTTAGTCTACTTTCTCGTTTTCCTTATTAATTACCCATTTCAGCGATACTTGCCTTGAAAGACTGAAGTACTTTGAAATAGACTGCTCTGATTTTTCCTTTTGCACCAAAATGTTGAATTCATTTTTCTATGACTACCACAAAGTGCCACATCTGCAGTCACTCCTTGTATTATTCCCTGTCTATTCCGCAAGGCTACAGTCAATTTATTTTTTCTTGTACTTTATAACATAATTTACTTCCAGAAGCACTTATCTATAGCCCCTAGAAAGTACACTATCTTCCAGAGTTATTATTCGAAATATTTAACCATTATGTGTCCCAGACATACACCAGTAGCACTGGATCCCTAAATAAGTCAAACACTGGACTTTACATCATGCTAGTACCAACTGCTTAAGTGCTACTACTTCTTATAATTTCTTCCAAGTCCTGTCTCTATTATAAAATCAGCTTTTGGTCCTCTGATTTCATGTATTTATTCAATATACATGTGTTGAGAAGCCTCAGTGTTCCTTATTTTTGGCATTGTAGTAGAGGAGGGTTTCTCAACCTCAGCACTGCTGACATTTGGAGAGGATAATTGTCTGTTGTGGGTGGCTGTCGTGTGCAGTGAAGGATATTTAGCAGCATCCCTGGCCTGTCATTATTAGATGCCAGTAGCACAACACGCTCCCAGGTCAAAATAATCGAAAATTACTTCAAACATTGCCAAATGTCCCCTGTGGGGGCAAATAACCCCTGGTTGAGAACCATCATATTAAATGTTAAGGAGATACAAGAGAAAAAGATTTGTACCCTTTGTGAAACTGAAGTCTCATTTAACATTTCATTTACTATACTGCTCAGTTACAGTTATATAACCCAAATATTCAATTTAACCAGTTATATAGACACATCTTTACCTTGAGAACCCTGCCCCTGAGGTAAGAGACACAGGTAATGAAAGAAATAGGTCAATATTTATAAACTTCATAAATAGAAACTAAACCACAAATTACCTTTTCAGTGTAATAGCTGAGTGGTAAAGAATTGTGACTAAATGCAACTACACTTCCCCACTGACAGAATCTAATAGTTCAGAATAATTTTATATTTTTCTCCACCTGCTTCTAAATAGATACAGGCTCCTCAGACATTAGTATTGATGGCGATCATCATGTGTGTAAAGCAACTAGTACTTCCCATGCATTATCACATTCAGTCATCACAACAAGCCTGTGAGGTAGGTGTTACTATAATTTCACCTTTAAATATGAAGGAACTGAGGTGCACAGCAGAGGGCCAATGTCATACAATTATGTAGTGGTACACTCAGAGCCCACATTCTCAACCACTAGTAGCACCGCTTCGGTGCAGAAAAAGAAGAGAGAATAAGTGAAACAGAGAAATAAAGAAGCTTATCCCCTGCCCCGTCTCCTCTCATGGAGATAAATGTGGCTCCAGTATCAAAATAATGGTCTTATAAATGTTCCAGTCCAGCCAGGCACGGTGGTGCACACCTGTAATCTCAGCACTCAGGAGGCTGAGGCAGGAGATTGCCACATGTTTCAAGGCCAGCCTGGGTGGGGTACATAGTAAGTTGAAGGCCAGCCTGAACAGTAAGACCCTATCTCAAAAGCACCAAAAAGAAAATAAAAAGCAAAGAAGCAAATGTCCCAGATCAACTTGAAACTTAATGCTGAGCACCTTTATAAAGTGAAGCACAGCTAGAATGTCATAAAACATGTTCTCAGAGAGGTCATGAAGTTGGTAGGAACGAGTAACCTGGCTCAAAATTAAAGAAGCATGAGAATAACCACCCATTCAGTGCCCTATACTCTCAAGAAATAAAATTTTTTGCTGTGCAAGAGCACACTGAAAGTCAGGAGAGCAGGAAACTCAGAAAGTATCCTTGAGATAATCCACCGAAAGTCAGTCTTCAGGTAAAAATTTTTAATCATCTTCTACCAAAGGTAAGTATCTCCACTGTACTTAAATGTTCCTCTTGCTTGTTCTTCATGCCTCTGCAATGCAGAATCTCCAATGACTTGATTTTCATCGCTCACCAAGTCTACCCAAATTGACTGTGCTAGGTAAGTACAAATAAAAACAATCACCTTTGCTATCACATGACATATATGTATTCTTTAAATTTACTGCACTATGCCAACTTGCACAATGAAACCACAAGGCCTATGAGGAAAAATTGGGTTAGCAGAATAACAACAAAAACATTAGCAACATGTTAAAAAACCAGATAGAAATGGCAACGCAGGTTTATGTGTGTGAATGGTTAATAAATACATCTGCAAACAGTAAATATGACACTTAACCTTGAAAACTTCTAAAGGTTCTTTGTAGACATAGTTATTGCAGCTTGTGAGTCATTGTTGAAGAAGGTTATCTGAAATCACTTGGAAACTTAACACAGTCTGAATGGGTGTGGCTGGTAGTGTCTGAGGTGTGTGTTTTATGGATTACCACACAATTCAATTGAGCTGGGTGCAATTTTCTGCATTCACCTCGTGTTTCTTGCTGATAGAATCATGCTCAAGTAAACATGAAATTTATGGCATGCTCAAGTTATTCCTTAATATATCAATTGCATTTGGACAAATTCACATTTTCAAAATAGAAGTTATAGCAGCACTAACTTAGAGGGGTTTCACTAGTAAGAAGATGGAGGCCAGTGCCATAATATAGTATCAAGGATGATCTGCGTCTAATGAAATCTCTGGATCACTTTCCTGTGTTAGTATACATACATATACCTGTAACTAAGAGAAATTGTCTTTTTAAATTTTTTCCTTTCATTCCAAGACCCTAAAACAAAATACTGTAGAGTCTGCAGTCATTCTTCATCCCCTAGTGTGAGAGCACTGACTTGGACTTGCTCTTTCCCCAAACAGATAAAGGAGAAGGCTTTGGAGGGCTATTTGACACTTAGAGAACCTTGCTGTTGGCCGATGCATAGTGGATCCTCTTGACGAAAAAGGATAGAGACATAAACAGCACCAAATACTCATTTTTTAATATTTCCCTTGATTCTCTGCTTTGGCATATCTGACCCCCTCCACCTCATGTAATCTCCTCCCTTGTGGTGGCTTTAAACATACATAGTAAGTCAATATAATTACCCCTCTGTATCTGTAGGTTCCACACCTATAGATTCAAACAACAGTGTATCTGGAAAAAATTCCAGAAGTTTCCAAAATGCAAAACTTGAATTTGCCACATACTAAGCACTATGCTGAATGCAGGAGAATAGTCATATGCAAGTCTACGCTGGCATAGGCTTCCAGAACTTTGCAGATCCTCATTCTCTCTCCAGCACTGGTTGGAGCAAGCATTCCTCACCTTCTATCTCATTTATGTACTATATTAAGACCTAGGGGGATTTTTTTACACCGAACACATAAAGACTTTTTCTTATAATAACTCTAAAGAATTCAGTGCAATAATCATTTACATTGTATTTTCATTATTTTCAATAATATAAGTAATCTAGAGATGAGGTAAAGTATATAAGGGGAGGTTATATACAAATATACTATTTTTTTTTTTTTTTTTTTTTTGGTTTTTCTCCGGTACCGGGAACTGAACTCACGACCTTGCACTTGCCAGGCAGGCGCTTTTGCCGCTGAGCTAAATCCCCAGCCCCACAAATATACTATTTTACATAAAAGACTTGATCATCTGGGGATCAGAGGATCCTGAAATTAATGCCCCATGGGCACCAAGGAACAACTATACTTCTGCAAATTCTGTAATGCTCCTTCCCTTCAACAGGTAAAGTTCAATTAGTTGTTCTGCTATCCATTTTGCAACTATGCCCTTATTTAGAGCCTAGTGGAGACATAAAGAAAAAAAATAGCAATGGAATTTAGCCCCACTCATTCTGAACCACAGATCCATCAATAAAGATTATCTACCCTCAGAGGTTTACCTTCCATGGGTTCCAACTATCAGCTGCTCCCACCATTGACACAGGATTTCTTAGGAGCTAGGGTGTAAGAAATAAGAAAAGAAAAGAAAAGAAGACAAGAGAAGAGAAAAGAAAAGAAAAGAAAAGAAAAGAAAAGAAAAGAAGAAAAGAAAAGAAAAGAAAAGGAAAGAAAAGAAAAGAAAAGAAAGGAAAAGAAAAGAAGATTCTTGTCTCTTTTCCAATTCTTTGAATCAGAATTAGATCAATTCTTCTGAAATGTTCTGTTGCCCACATTAGGTTTCTTGTACATTGAGTTCAGGCCAGGTTATACCAAATGGAAAAAGTAATGTACTCACTTGATTCCGTGGTACATCTGAATTCTGGCTCTTTCTCAGTCTGCTACTGTTTACTTATCAGGCTTCTCAGTGCTCCATTCATTTGCATAAAATTTTATAGCTGTATACAATAAAGAGGACAAGATAGAATATGTTTACTCCATGTAAGCCAGAACTAGAACACCATGGTTGACACTATATTAGAATTATCTAATTTTTGTTTTGCATTTACTCCTGGGAACTAATTGACAACAGGGATTTAGTGTATCTCCCACACATACGATAAAGTTTGGCATAACACTGGTGACCAATAAATTATTCTGTAATGAATGGGTGAGTGAAGGCCTTAATCAAGAATCCTAGCCACTCTGCAAGTCCAAAACTAAGGAAACCAGTTTGGAAACCTGAGCATGGGATAGAACTCCTACTAATTGTAAGGTGAACTAATGTCTTGTTCAGTGGTATCATTGTGTTTTCTACTGAGGTCACTACTAGCTGTATGGCAGAGATTTTAGGTATAGTAATAAAGGGATGGTTATGTACCAAAATGATTATCAATCATTAAACGCTAGTGAGCAAGCCTATACTTTGTCCTTAACTCTATGCTAGGCACAAGAAAAGCATGAAAGAATAAGGCATTGCCCCTACTCTCAAGGACCTCAGTTATAATAATTATAATTTACAAGACAAACTCATACTCAGCAATAGAAAATAAATTTTTTTTTTTAGAAAATAAAATTTAAGGCACAATATAGAGAGGTTGTTAACTATGCAGACTACTGCAGCAGTTTAATGGAGATGCCGGTCAGTGCAGCCTGGCACAGTTACAGCAGAGGAAGAGGCAGAACTTATGATGGTCTTATACTGTGGGTTAGGGTGTAATACGTGCAGGTTATTTCAGAAAGATTAAGTAGCAAAAGCAAAGGTGAAAAGACAGGGAAGGGCATAAAGCTATCGGCCTCGCTATAGAAAAGACTAGTTTGATGAACCATTGAAGGCATAATGTTCTGTACCAATTGTTGTATCTTGCCCATAGTATCAAATAATATTAACTGCAGGGCCAGAAAAGAGATTCACTTTTACAATGCTTTCCAATCCCTGAGGCCCCTACTCATTTGTCCATCCAGTTCCCCCACTTTTCTCCCAAGCATACATGCGCACTGCTTCCACACAGCACACACCACAACAACCTTTTTTTTTTGGTCACACTGACCCACTTAGAATTGTGCTAATCAGTGTTTCTCCCGGAACTTTGTAGAGAAATATCAGAAAACATTTCTTCCTCTCTGCTGAGGTTGCTAGGACACCACATGGAGAGAGACTGCACACAGAATACAGCCAAGAAAGGGCAAATGGGCTCCAAAAAACTGGAGAAAAGAGTCTAATGATACCAATTGAACCCTGAATCAGCTCTACCTGAAGTCAGGCTGTTATATAAAACAATAAATTTATTTTTAATCTGCTTCAAATAGGTTTCTTTCACATCCCACTAAAAGAGTCTTAGATAACATAGCCCTTATCCACACTCTCCTCAAAAACTGGCTAACCAGACAAAAAGCTTCGAGTTCCTAAATTATAGTACAATCACTTAATTCTGAGGCAGCCCATTACATCATTAAATCGTCCTAATGGAATGTTATTCCTTGTAATAAGTTAAAATTTGCACCCATGTTAGTTAATTTTCACAGTCCTAGTTCTCTTCTCTGGAGCCAGACGAGACAGAGGCACTCGCATTTGAAGGCAAATTTATGCCTTTTCTGACAAGGCATACACCCAACTCCTTTACCATTCTTCACATAGCAAAGTTTACATGACTTCAAGCTGCTCTGCCATCCTGGTCATTCTTCTCTGAATGGGCTCCAGATTATAAGGTCTGTTACCCAAGACTAAGGGAAATATTCTTATGATGGTTTGACCAATACATATTACAATGGGATTATCATGTACTTCGTGTACTATTATCACTGTAGTTCTCAGTGTTGGTTTCCCACTGGACTCAACTGGAAAGCTTTAAAAATACTGATTTCCAGATCATACCTACACTGTTTCTTTTTTTTTTCCCAGTGTTTCTTATGCAGTTGATCTGGGTTGAAGTGTGGGAGGCCATCATGTGAATTATATTAACGTATCTTAAAAACACTTAGCCACATCTCATAACTAACTTATATTTGAGCTCATTGTACATTAAAACACCTAAATCTTTCTCACATGAGCCTTACTAAGCCACACTCTGTACTTTGGCAACCACTTTCTTGGACCCCTCTACCAATATTATTTTATGCTTATGTCCATTAAATTTCATCCTGAGATTCTGCTCACCCACTAAATTTGTTGAAAAATATAAAAGCCTAATTTGGGTATCCCCCATGTTTACTATCCTTCTACAAATCAACAGGATTTTAAAAATATCTTCAACCAAATGATTAATAAAAGTATTTGACAGGACAGAGTAGAAAGCAGAATCTTGTGACTAATTAATAAAGCTGTTATATTAATACTGTCCAACTCTGTACCCATAACCTTTGCCTATGTTTCTTCAACAAACTACTGATTGACTTAATTCTGTAAGTGAGGCCACAGATCATAATACATTCAAAAAAGGTATGAATAAAAAAGTCTTGCTACATGACAGGATGACAGTCACATACATACATTCCCCAGGGCCATCAAAAAGCTACCCCTCCCAAAAAAGTAAATTTCGTTTACATTATGTGACTTCTCAGTAAACCCATTTAAACTCCCACTGATCTCTGCAAATTCTTTTTTAATCACAAGCTATCTTTTAATAGCAATTTCAAAAGTCATTGTCTGAGATTAACATCAAGCTTGTCAAGTTGTGACTGATGCCACCCACCATCACTTTCTTTCTAAAAATTGGAATACTATTTCACCATCTCATGTCTTCTTATAAATGTGTAGAATTTAGAGTCCAATTTCTTTAACTCTCCTAATCTGTAAAAGAACCCAGAATGCAATGTCACTAACTATATTCAGTGTATATTTTCACATCTAAGATAGCTGTGTCCCGGTGGCTCCTCAGGAGACTCCTGAGTAACTAGCCTCTCCTTCCACTTCCACTTTCTGCCTCAAAATCGAGTACTACCAACATTAGCAATCATCAAAACACCCCATTAGGGAACAAAAGAAAGGTTCCCTTTTAAATCTTGTCTCAACAGTGTTTTCCTTCTTTGTTCAGTATATTCACTATCATTGTGTTTCTCTAGTAGAGGTTGACAAAATAGGGGTGGGTGGGAGGGAATCTGTATCCTCAACTTTTATCTGTGGCTGTACTCTAACTTGGAGTGTTTTGCTGTTTTATCATTCTCTTTGAGCTGGAAGCAAAGAGAGAGCTGACATTATTATTTAGTAGGAGCTGCAATTGAAGAGTCTGGGCAGAAAGCAGAATAAGGAGTAGAAAAATATTCTTTTGTTCCCACACAGCTGCTTGCTTTTTACTTCTCTATTTTATATGTTTAGATCTTGCCTGTGAAATGCTTTCATGTCTTTCTCTCACCCCCTTTCATGTTCTCTATTGCCTTTCCCCTATTTTTTGCTTCTCAAATATGTTGCTATATTATGTTCTCTTGGTGAAGCTGGGCCTCTCAAGTTTATCCGAATTCATTATTTTTGTCACTTTCATCACAATTAGGTGGCATTTGTTGAGCATCCTCAGGGAGAGAATTGACATGAGGATTGGCACTGTTATGAACATGCTTGCTCCTAAGTATGTCAATAAGCAAAATCTATCTTAGGTGCCAGTGCGGCTCAGCTTCTATTCTCAGGCATCTGTTGCACTCAGAAAACAACTTCTTTTTCCATCCCTGGACTTGCTTTCATAGGCCTAGTGCTGGCCTACTCTGTGTTGAGGATTTGGGCATACTGCAACACCTCTTCTCTTGCTATTGGGAAAGAGGCTCTGGTGTAGGAGCAGGGAACTGGTTTTGCCCAACTCAGTTTCATCATTAATTTGCTGTGTTTTGCTCCAGACATCCAACTTTTCTGAGCCTATTCCCTCATGAGATGTTATTCACCAATAACAACGACGAAAAGAATGCTACACTCAGGAGATTTTTATGAGCTCCTGAGATATATGAGAGAATTCCAAAACTTGTCATCCACGAATCAAAATATGTAGGCTGCAGTCTCAAGGCCATCATATGTGCTGCATATGGATACAAAATATGATTAGTAATTAAAATGGCAGCTAAAATGTTTGGGGGATAACTACGTGCCAGCCACTATACACAAACATGCATTCACACACATCATGTGTGTATATGTACACACACATGCATATAAAACATGGGTCTCCTGAAAACCATGCCACCTACCTATGCTATCTTAATCTATATTAAAAAAGACATTGTGGTGTACTGGAATGGACACAAATGGGGCATCAGGATCCCTGGGCTGCAGCCCTCACTATGGCATAAACTCTGCAACTCTCACAAGTCACCACCACAGGTGATAAACTGGAAAATGCCTAACAGCCTTCCCCCTTATATGCAGAAACTAATGATAGGAAGGGGCATAGCAATAATGGCAACATAGGAAGAGTCATTGTCTCAGTTCCCCCTTGTATGGACTGATTGAGAAGAACTATTTCCCATGCCAATGACTGTGACTGGCCCAGCTGTTAGGGTCACCCAATATGCTGGTTCCTCCACTGATGAGGATGGAGGAGATGATGAAAATGAGCACCACTATTGTATTCCTACTCCCTTCAAAAATGTCAGGGAATACAACAGAATATCTCTTCCTGATTTTATCCAGATTGAGACACATCTCAATGCTCATCCCATTTAAAATGTCTCTATACTGACCTCCTACCTCAGAACTCAAGCTCATTAAAAGCTCAGGCAAGTTCTACTTCTGCCCCCTGCTGCAAAAGCTACCACGGCAAGGCCACACTTCATTGCAGCTCTTAAGGCATTCTGCCTTTCTCTCTGAAGAGTTTCCAAAGGGTAAATATTTTCCAAATGACTACCCAAGTTGTGTGAAAAGAGAGCCTACCTATTCAAATTGCTCTCTTCTATAAACTTAGGCCTTCAGGCATGAAATTCTACTGTATATCATTCCTCTGAGGGAAAGTTTCTGTTAATATACACATGATATGTGGGAAAGGCAATACATTGGGCCATTAATACCTTAGCCTATATTATGCTCTATCAAGTGAGTTTGAAAGACAAGGGTCACAATGGAAATGGAATATAGGAAGCTGGATACCAATGCTTATGAAGAATGTAAAGAGAGATCTGGAGATGGAGAACACTCCTTGAACTGCAGGCCTGGCCCAGGAAACATGAGAGTATTTGGAATGTGGGAAAACAGAACATACTGGAAGAAATGCATGCTTTTTTGATTGCAAATAATCTAAAATCTCATTGCCACCTTATAAATCCCAGGCTTGATAAGTAGAAAGGTAGAGATCATTGTCAGTTTTCAAATAGATTAAACAAGGCCAAGAAAGATTAAATTCTTTGCTTAAGGTCATTGACTTTATCAGGAAGCCTTGAAAGTTGCAATTGGGGACCATGAAGAATAACTCAAATCCAATACACTCACCTTCTCTGAACCTTAGTTTCATTATATGCGAAAAGAGAAGTTTTGACTAACCACTTCTCAAAAGCACCTCCCCATCTAACTTCTTATAGCTAAGCTCTCAAGAGCCCACTCACGTCCTGTTAAAGCAACCAAAAGAGATCTTGGTTGCATTGAAATTTCTGTTTCGAGACAGATGACTTTTAGGCATTACTTAATACCTAAGGGCATTAACGTACTATGCTAAGCACTATACAAGCCCTTTTATATGCATCATTTCAGTTAGTTCCCCCAAAACCTAACAAAGATATACTTATTATTCCCATAAGGAAAGTGAAAATCAGGGTGGGGGGATTCTTAAATTTTCTTAAATTATCTTAAATTTTCTAAGATAACATAGCTGATAAACGGTAGGCCTAGAGTTCAAACATAGGGATGTCTGATTCGATATCCTTGCTGTAACCACTGCCTGTCAAAATGGTGGAGCACATATGTCTTGGTTACTTTTCTCTCGTTGCTGGGACAAAATACCTGATGCCCAAAATTAAGGAAGGAAAGGTTTATTTTGCTTACAGTTTGTGGAGGTTTCAGTCTGTACTTGGCAGATTATAAGGCAGAGTGGCACATGGCAGGGAGCTACAGCTCATGGCGTCCGAACACAGCAAAAGCAAAAAGCACACACCAGGGCAGAATGGGGGAAGAATGCCCTCAAGCAGCTTCTTCCTCTCCCTTACATATGCAAACTATCCACCCCAGGGTGGGTGTAGCTCTCACACCCATCAAACTCTAAAAGCCTGCCCCATGGCCGCTTGAGGCTTTGGGGGGACACACAGATTCAAACCATAACAACATATTATCACACTCTGAACAAAAAGCAAGCAAATGCAAATAGTGTGATGTCGTGGAAAGCACAAAGTTTGGGTTCAGACAAATTAGGTTTAACTTCAAACTCTGTTCATTATTAACTCTAATCCTAGTTTTCCTGATCTGTAAAATGAGGATGAAAGAAATAATATCCGGACAAAATCAGAGTAAATGATGTAAAAAATGTAAAGCACTCCACGAATGGCAAACACTCAATATCAAGAGAGTACTCTTCTATTGTAAATCCCTATTAAGTGAGCTAGTGAGCTGAAGGATACGTGCAACCATAATTACACTCTTTGCCAGGTTCCATAGTTGAGTGACTCGAAAACTACCACTAAGAGTGAAGGAGAAGAGCTGCCTTATTTTTGCAAAACATGAGCAGCTGTGTAACTGGTAGAAAGCAGTTAGGCTCTATCTTTTTTCATTATTCTCTAGGAGATAGACTTTACATCTGATCAAATAGTGAGAACAACCTAAGAAGTCAAAAGCAATCTGGTGCCAAGGGCAGCATCCCTGCTACTACTTCAGCTCCCCAAAGCTCACCTGCTTGGACACCTGCATCCTCATTTTCAAGGAACCATAATCCTCAGGGTCATAGGCATATGGTGAATGTGGTTAAAATCCACCAACCAAAGTGGTGGAAGAAGAACACAGAGAGAAAACGAGACAATTGAGCCCAGCCTGTAGCAGAAACCAGAGGTGATGAGATGCAGCTACTATGCTCCTGCTCCCTGAAAAGTCCCTATCCTGAGAAAGAGAAAGAAGAGAACAATGGTGGCAATTGCTACTAGGTATGAGCTTGCTGAGCATACTCAGGGTAGGTAATAAGAATCATAGGATCTCTTTAACCTTTATTGAGATTCCAAAGCTCACAGCTATGCTAAGAGAGAGGGTAGACAGAGATCAATGCTCCATTTCACATTTGAGGAATCTCAGGCTCAGAGATGGTATGTAGCTTAGCCTCAGTCTTACAGACATTAAACAATAAAAATAGTATTGAAGTCCAAGTGTGTTTAAATCCCATTCTAGAATTTACTGCACAACATGGGGAGAAACAGAGTCGTGAAGAATATACTAGCACACAGCCCTGTGATCTATGACTGCATGTCAGCACAAGCCGTGCACAAAGACCTGTGGAGATGCTGATGCTTTGTTATAAAGGGGATCAAGAATAAGAAATATACTTGGGAGAAGTAGAAATTTTGAAACACCAAGTCCCCACCATATTCTGACGTTCTAAACAGACCTGGCAGAATTTGGAAGAATTAGCAGAGCTGTTGTTAGAGAAAAGGAAACCCCACTGCTTAGTGAGAAACATCTTTTTGTGAAAATAGAATAATCAGTGAGGTGGCAAAAAGTGTGACAGGTATCCCTAGGTGTTAGAATTTAAATTGAAATCATATGATCATTTCAATTTTCATGTGAAAACATAGTAAGTCCTCAAATAAATACTTACATGGTCAAAAGTAATCAATCATTGGCTACGTAATTCTGCATAGCAAGACATTTCTAAATTCAGAAGGTTGAAGCAGCAATCATTTATTTTTACTCACACGTCACTCTCCTAGGTTGGATTCAATTGGGCTTGGCTCCAAGCAGTAAACTGGATTCATGTATGCCTCATATGGCTCCCGCCTTCACAGGAGTGGAAAGGTCCCTGAGGTATGTTCTTCTCATGCAGAAGGACAAGGTCATTGCAGGACAAGAGGGCAAGGCCAACAATAAACGCACATTCCAAGCTTCTATATTTGGCATCTTTGTCTAGTCACACAGCCAAGTCCAAAGTCAAGTTACGGAGGACCACACTGTAGCCACCACTTGGCCAGAGCAAATCACATGGCCAGGCCCATGATCAGTGGAGTAAGGAAGAGCATATTTCTCCCTGAGTGGTTAAAAAGAGAATAATCAAGGGAGAGAACAAAAATATACCAGTTAGTGAAAAATGGGAGTGTGGGATAGCTTACATTTAACTTAAGGTATGGCAGCACAAAGTTTAGGCGATGACTTTAGGTATATCTGAATTAAATCTCAGCTTTCCCACTTAGTATACTGTTGTTGTATACAAAATCACTATCTTTTATGTGCCAGTCTTGGGAATAGGGGGAAAGGAGGTAATTGAGATGTGGCAGAATATTTGTTGAACTTAAGGCATCACCTCCAATAAAGCTTAAAACTACTATAGACAAAAGGAAATATCTTATGTACTAAAAAATTCCATTTGAATATATTACCTGTCATTTTGCTTTTATTTCAGAAAATTGACATGGTTTGAATATGATACACCCTGCAAGCCTCATGTGTTGGGCTCTTAGTCCCCACTGCAGCAGTTTTCAAAGGTGAGGCTTTGGAAAGGTAAGTGGATCATGAAGGCCCTGATTTCATCCCTGGATTCACCCAGTGATAGATTCGTAGTTTAATGGCAATATTGTGAGGTAATGGGAATTTAAATTTGGGACCTAGTTGAAGGGATTGGGCCATTGCGGGAATGACCTTGAAGACTGCATGTAGTCTCCGGATCCTTTCCCTTCTCTATCTCTATTTCTATCTCTATTTATTTCTGTTTCTGTCTTCACTATTCACTGTGTCCTTCTGCCACGATGCGTCTGCCTCACTATAAGCACAGGAGGGGCTGGGGATTTAACTCAGCGGCTCAGTGCCTGCCTGGCAAGCACAAGGTTGTGAGTTTGATTCTAGGTACAGGGAAAACAAAACAGAACAAAAAGAAAGCACGGGAGTAACAAAGCCACTGACTGTGGGGTGAAACCTCGGAAATCATGAGTCTAATAAACCTTTCCTCCTTTAACTTGTTGTTCTCAGGTTTTTTGGCATAATAACAGAAAGCTGACTAATATGAAGTAAAATTAATTTTTACTCACAGGTCATTTGGAATAAGCACATACCAGGCTTTTTCTCAATGAAACTGACCATAAACCTGAAGAGAATGCATGGTGCATCTATTTGGGGATTCTGAAAGGTAAATAATAGCAGGAATAGCAAGAAAAAACACCAGAATGTGTCGTATCAACAACCAGCACTTGAGTTTAGCACTTTTCCCCTCCTATATCCCCTGGCGAGAAATCAGGCCAGCAAAAAATCCAAAAAAGTAAGCACTGTGATACAAACAAAGCCCAAGAAGAAACTCTCTACTTTTAGCTCAAGCAAGAGGAAATGAAACTTCTTACACTCAAACTACAGTAAAATTCCCAAATTTGTTTTCTTTCTTTCGCATTTCTATTGTGCCCCAGGCTCTAGGCAATCTCACAGCTGTAACAGTGGTACTGGCAGTCATAGGTACTGCAAAACTGCAAGTGCCAAACTCTAAAGGAGGGAACGTTTTCTCTCCATTCAGGTAAACTGCATGTCCAAGAGAGTGGGGCCAAGATCTGTCACTTTTTATTTTCTCTCTCTATCCCCTGTTGACTGGTCCTGGAAGGAGTATCCTCATGGAAATATGTACTCTCCAGCCAGAAGACCAAAATGGAGGGGCTCGGGGAAATGAAGTATTGAGAAAATTAAAAAGAAGAGAGAACTCAGGAGATCAAACCCATAAAGTTGCTTATGAACTAAACTATTAAACTGTGTAAGTGTGGACTGGGTCTGAGTCAGGATCCTAACGACTTTGAGAATAGAACTGATAGACTACCACCCAGGCCATGGTGTGCTGACTACTGGATGGCATACAGGCAGGGGGGATTCAAACAGCACTGCAAAACTTTTAAAAACTACACTGACATAGACATCTCAGCTCACAGAAAGTGTTTTGGAACTAGTAATGTGAATTGAATCATATCAATTGCCTGATAAATTTAAAATAACAACATGCTTTACTGGATTTGAACAGGATCTCGGTTCTCATGAGATTTAGACAAGACCCAAATATCAAAATGTCAATAATGCAATCCAAAATGACTAGGCCTATGTAGGACTACTCAAATATTGACTCACATAGGAAAAGAAAATCAAGAAATCAGTAATGGATGATACAGATTTTGGTATTATCTAATAAAGGCTTTAAACCAGGTGTTATAGGAATGTTCAAATGAACAAAAATGAATGCTCTTAAAACAAATTGAAGCGAGGCATGATGGCTCATACCCATAAATCCCAGAACTCTGGAAGGCAGTGTCAAGAGGATCATAAACTGAGTAATTTAGCAAGAACCTGTCTCAAAATAAAAGAAGAGCTGGGGATGTAGCTCCGTGCCAAAAGTCTTGTATTCAATCTTGTACTCCTCAAAAAATATCTGCAAAAAATATTAAAATAATGAAGTGGCAATACAATAATCAAATTTTAAATTTCACTGGATAGACTCAAAAGCAGAATGAAATGAATATAGGAAAAATTCTGTAAACTTGAAGCAAAAAAATTTCCCTCTCTGAAATGTAGAGTAAAATGCAAAACTTTAGCAAAATGAAAAGAGTCTCAGAGACATGTGACACAATAACAAGAGATTTAACAAGAAAAATACTAAAAAATATTTGAAAATACAATGGTTGACACTTCTTGAGTTTGGCAAAAGACATAACTCTACACACTAAAGAAGCTGGGAGAACCCAATTTGGGTAAACCCTATGAAATGTAGGCCATGATTATCATGGTTAAACTTTTTAAAACTAAAGACAAAGAAAATATGCTAGAAACAAGAGAAAAACTATACACTACCTTTGGCGAGACTCAGGAGTGATGCTCTGAAAAGCAGTATATTTTTCCTTTGAACAGTGTAGGCCAGAGGGAAGTGGCACAGCAGTTTTAAAATACTGAAAGGAAAAAGCTGTCATCTTAGATTCTGTGTCCAGTAAAAATATCCTTACAAATGCTAGTAAACTAAAAATACTCTTAAACAGAGGAGAGGAAATTTATAAACAGATGATCCACCCTTCATTGATAACACTTCTTCAAACAGAAAAGAAATAATACCAAGAAGAAACTTGAAATAGCAGCAATAAAGGAAAACCACAAATAGTACAAATATCTGGATAATTACTATACAAAAGAGCAGAAGTAATAGACAAAGTAATAACGGCTGATATTTTTCCAAAATTAATGACAGGCACCAAAATACAGATTCAAGAAATTAAGAAAATATCAAGTATGATAAAGACCATAAAATCTACAACTCAGTATATCATCTTCAAACTAAAGGAAAACCACAGACAAGAGGGAAATCTTGAAAGAAATCAAAGCGGAAAACACCTTACTAAAGAAGAACATAGATAGGAATTCCACTGTACTGATCAAAAAACATGCAGACAAGAAGGGAATGTAATGAACCATTTAAATTGTTTAAAGAAAAATGAAATACTACCTGGAATTCTGCATTGAATGAAATTACCGTTAGGGACTCAGGCATTTTGGCTCAACTACTCTGGGAAAATGTGTGCTTTGGGACATAGGTCTATGAGTAAAAGCACACTGAGCTGTCCAAACTTTGTAACACCTCAGGACACAAATGTCCATGCTATGAGGCTCCACTAAGAGATCATAATGCAGGAGGGAGGAAGCTATATCCCTTCTTACTTTGCCGTTGACCACAAGGAGTCATTGATTCATGGGGATTGAAAACATCAGTAGCCAGGACAATTGACAGGACACAGCAGGGTGGCAAGGTAGCGGCAGAGGCACACAGCCTAGAACACAGTACTAAGACCGGTCATGACCAGTCATGACCATCTAGCTAATTCAAGAGCCAAAACTCAGATTCAGAGTTTATATAACACAAGCCCTGGGGACTCCCATAAATACTTTGGTAGGGTCTTTTTGGGAGACAATGCACCTAAAATTACTATGTGAGTAGACAGGGGCCAGAACCATGGTCAGTTGATTGCAGCCATAAATCAGACAGGCTACCACAATGAAACCAGATACAAAAATAACCTTCACACTAGAGTAACTATGCTACCATTGCTATAGCAGTTGTTTTCTTGGTGCCATTAACTGACTTGCTAGTATTAAAAACAATAATTAAAATGACAAACTCATGTGGACAAGTCAATTAAAATCTTCTTTGGTTAATAAACTTCAAACTCAATGCATGTTACTCCACTTCTAGAAAACCTGCTTCTAATTAGGTATATTTAGTGAATGTATTTATCATCCCCCCCACAACAGAACTGATACATTGCAATAGAAGTCATACAACCACATACAAACCTAGGAAACTTCAAAACTTCAAAACCAAGATAAATACAGAAGCTAAATGGATGTCACAGGAGATGTCATTCACCTCATGGGCTAAGATCTTAGAGATAGGCAAACACTTCCCCAAATGCTTTTGATGTGATTAAATCAATGTCACTTTTCTAAAGAACCATAATTTCTACTTTGGACTAGCTCTTTAGCTAAAAGGAATAATGGACAGCTCTTAACCTTTATTGACAGCTTATTATATGCCAGATATAATTCTATTTATACACGATAACACATCCAATCACTTAAAAAGTCCTCCTGGAAAAATACATTTTATCTCCATTTTGCAACAGAGAAAATTAAAGTTTTAAAAGTTTACAAAGTTAGAGAGTGACAGAGCTGGTATTCCAACCCACAAAACCCGATGTCAGAAATAAAGCCCTTAACTGAGTGCTTCCAGTGGATACTTAATGCTGGCCTGCCATTTCTGCCATCCCAGTCTCTCAGAGTGGTACTTCA